CACCCCCGCACCCCCTCTCCTATCTCTTCATCTTGTGGGCTGGCAGATTTGAATGGTTGGCCAGACTTCTAGAAACCACAGGCTGATTTATCCCAGCGTGTCTCAGGAGTCACTGGAAACCAGGTGTTTTATTTCCAGGGATGTAACAAACCACTGAGCAGTCAGGCTTCCTGGGGCCTCAGCCACTGATCTAACCCGCCCCCGCTCCAGCCGTGTCGCAGCCAGACCACCTCTTCCCCACCTCTCTCATTTTGAAGGTAGTTTTCTGTTTAGCATGGCTCCTTGGTTTGGAAGCAGTGATTGAACGAATCAGAAGTGGTGAAGGTTTTGGATGGTAAATTTGCGGGGAGACGGGAAGGAAAAAAGAATCAAGAACTGAGTTGTCCATCCCTCCACTGCTCTCAGCATGAGGTCCAGCCCCTTCCTCTGCCCCACAGGCCCTGTAAGACCCAGCCCCGCCTATCACAGCCCGGGGGGCCCCTACCTGCCCCTGCACACCGGCCACTCTGGCCTTTTCTCTGTATCTTGGACACACCCAGCTGCCCTGCCCCAGGCCTTTGCACATGCCGTTCCCTCTGCCTGGAATTCTCTTCCCCCAGTTTCATGTCGTGGCTTTTTATCGTCCTTCAGATTCCAGCTCAAATGTCCTCTTGTCAGACCTTTCCTGCAACCCTGGATAAAGCAACCTTGTGTCTCTGGGTCACTGACCCTCTGTGTTATTGTAGCATTGTCTTCACGGTGCTTTCTAGAATCTGAAATGGTCTTGTTTACTTGTATTCATGGTTCTTGTCATTACCCTAACTGGATATGAACTCCACGAGGGAAGGGACGCTGGCACATAGGAAACAACCAGATAGTTGATGAGTGAATGAACGAGTGAATGAATGGATGGATGCAGGCTAAGAATCTGATGTGGACGCAGTCTCAGACGTGTTTCTGTTCTCTGGTTCCATCCCCTCTTTCTGTTGTTTTAGTGCATATTTTCAGTCTCAGAGCTGGTCCAGAGGCATCTTACGTAACCGTATGACCTCCCACTGTGCCTCTGCTGCGTTGCTCACCCGCATGGTGTGACCACCGTGGAAAATGCCCCTCTGTCTCCGGTCTGCCCAGCTCTCCAGTAGAAGCCATGCATGTCTGTGACAGAGGATAGCCATCCAACACCGATGATGCCCCCCACCCCCGACTATAATGAAAATGGGAGGAGGCATGATGCTGGGCTGACCCCAAAGAGAGTGACCAGGGTGGACAGAGCTCCCAGAGTCCCCAGGCATTAGAGGTCATTGAATGAACCTCTGGGGATCTCTTAGCTGGGGGGGACTTGTGGGTTGGAATGGGCACCACCTATTTGAAGAGCTTTTGAAGTCAAATTGTGTTGTCAAAAACAGGCCAGCGAGAACTGGTGGCGGGTATATGGCTGCAGCTTCTAACAGAGCTCGGAAGAGGCCAGCCAGGGGCAGGTGTTTGCACTCCATACTCATTCAACATTTCTTGGGTGCCTACTGTGTGCTTAGTGCTGATGCTGGGTGCTGGGCCTTCCCCTGAAGGAGATGCCGAGTGAACAACCACAGGAGTGCAAGACAGACTCGTGATGGGCCCCGAAGAAAAGATCCCCTTGGCATGGGTGGACCAGGGAAAGGCAAAGATGCCCCCTGACTCAGGGAGGGATGTGCAGAATCCTACCCAACAGGGAGGAGCTGTCGGGTTGAAAGTACAGTATGGGCAAGGGCCAAGGGTGCAGAGGAACGGGATGGGGTAGAACCAGAGGCTGGGAGAGGCCGGAGGCTGGGTTGAATCAAGATGATGATACATGGCGGGGTGGGAGGGAGGCACGCAGCCACCGGGGCTGGATAATGCTTGTGCTTTATTCTGTGGGCATTGGGGAGGGGGGTGTTAAGTGTTTAGGGGACGTGAAGGGGAGCCAGGTGGATCCAGGTGTGTCCCTGCGCCTTGGGGATCCAGGTGTGTCCTGCTCCTTGGGGATCTAGGTGTGTCCCTGCTCCTTGGGGATCCAGGTGTGTCCCTGCTCCTTGGGGATCCAGGTGTGTCCCTGCTCCTTGGGGATCCAGGTGTGTCCTGCTCCTTGGGGATCTACCCAGGTGTGTTGCTCCTTGCTGCTTTCTAGTCTCAGAGCCACTCAGGTGACAGCCAGTCTCCCCCTCCTCCCCCCCCACACCCTCTGAGTGTCATTCTTTCAGAATACCAGGACACCTGGCAGTGGAGGATCTAATTTTCACACACACCCCTGGATTCTCCTCTTGTTAAGGCAATGAGTGGGCGGGTCATTTTTAGCAGAGGTCAGAGATGAAAAGTACAGGTCAAACGGAAGTGCTGTGAGGCAGGGAGCCCCTCACACGCTTGTGCCTGGATCCCTTGGCTTTTACCCACATCTGCCTTCAGACCTGGCCGACCTTAGCAAGAGGGCGCCCTGTGCAGTAGCCCTGGGTGTTTTTCCATCCTGCCCTGGCAGGTGGAGATTGGATGGCTGATGGCCGTGGGTCTGGGTTGCGGCGTGGCCGAGAGGGGCAGTTCCCAGGCCACGTGCACATCGGTGCTGACCGTCAGAGCCCCTGGGGTCCTGGGGTCTGCCCCGCTGCCGTGGCTCACCCCAGGTTTTGCTTTTTTCCAGAATGAAGATCATCCTCGTTGACTTTTCTATTTGTGAAAACAGCAGATGCTGCTTTTTGCGTTGCTGTCTGCCTGTCCTGAGGGCCAGCAGCAGAAGTGCCCGACCCGTCTCCCAGAGGCGGCCCGTGTTAGCGGTCTGCAGTGTAGACACTGCGGATATTCCTCAGTCCCCTGAGTTTGCCCTGCGCTGTCCATATTCTGCATTCTGTACACGCCTGGAGAGCATGTTCAGGCGGCTCTCTGTGTCTGCGTGGAGCCTGCGGGCCCCCCAGCCGGGCAGGTGCTCTGGTCCTCGGTCTCCGGTAGGGCAGTGGTGCCTGGTCTCACCATTACCAGCGCTGCTCCGAGCCGGGTCCCGGCCCCCGGCCCCATGGCCCTGCACGCTTGTCCCTGTTCGTTCCATGACAACATTCTGCGAGCTGTAGGAGCCCTCCAGAGACAGGAGGAGCCAGCGTTGGCGCGTGGCAGTGGGTGTCACTTCGGGGCGTGCAAGGCCTGAGAATGACAGGGGATGCCTTAACAGCCCTGCTGGTGTCAAGAGCTATCACTGCAGCGACCAGACTGAATGGCCCTGCTGGTGTGTATACACTCTCCTCACGTCTCTGAGCCTTGGGTTTCGATGTCAGTTTTTGTTTTGTTTCATGAAGGCAAGAAACGACAGAGTACGTTCCTCTGTTTTTAGGGCATTAATGTTGTGTCATACACTTTGTGGGTTTGGGGAAGGGTTTTCTGAGTGTGGTCGAAAGCCCAAGCAGAAGACGTTGCTATGTGTTTGTACCAGGACTTAATGACACTGAGTAGAGAGGAGGGTTTGGCTCGTGCTGTAGAACTGCATGGATTTGGGTGATTGGCCATCTCGTGTGTGTGTGTGCGCGCCTGTGTGTGTGTGTTTGTGGAGGGTGGCAGACAGAACTCTGAGGAACCCAGCTCTCCTTGAACTGGAAGTATTTTCGTTCAACAACACGCTTTCAGTGTAAGAGATTATTCCCGACTTTGGGGATTACGAGAGGCACAGTGTCCTCCTGGCTGGGAGGGAGGGAAGGAAGGAAGGAAGGAAGGATGGATGGATGGATGGATGCTCTGGGCTCTCGGAGAAGTTTCTCTGAAAAAGGGAAAGTTACTGTAGGATATAAGTCAAGGTGGGTGGTTGCTTTAGGAGTGAGGTGCGGGGTGAAATCAACACCGAGAACCTTGAAAACTAATGGAAATAAGGGGGGATGTTGACATCGGGGAGAGCTAGGGCTGGAGAGGATAGGATGGTGTGGAGGGATTCTCTGAATCAGGAGCAAAATCTCTTTATCCCCCAGAAGAGGACACAGTTAACTACCTGCTGTGCACTTAGGGAGGTTCCTGGGGACTTCCTGCCAGGTGGTCCCACAGCCCAAGGCTGCTACTACAGGGAGGAGCAGGGTTGCCATGGTGACTGCCCTTCTGGTGTTTCAGCATCTCAGGAATGGGAGCACGACTGGGGTGAAGTGAACATACAGCAAAGTGATGTTTTGTTGTATTTTCATAAGAATGTCACTTCAACCAGGGATTGACACACTGGCCCGCGGGCCACCTGCCTTTGTAAATGAAATCTTACTGGAACGCAGCCCTGCCCACTTGTTCAAGTGTTGTCGTGCTGTTCTCACGCCCCACTGGCAGAGTCGAGTGGCTGAGGCAGAGACACCATGCCCGCAAAGCCAAAAATAGGTCCTGTCTTGCCCTTGGAACAGACTTGGCCACCCTGACTTAAGTCATGGGTCACTCCAGCTCGTGAGGGTCCAGCTGGAACCAGCCTTGTGCTTTATTTCTGGTATCACCTGTGTGTACTGGTGTGTGTGCAGAAATTAAAGAGGATGCTACAGGGAAAAGGCTCCAGCACCGTATCCCTGCCACTGAGAAATTTTCTACTGCTGAGACTTGGTGGGCACCCAAAATGTGCCGTTCAGAAAAAAAAAAAATGCATGAACTACCCCTTGGCGGTGGTGTGGGCAGCGCTCTGCCCCAGCTGTGACCGCTCGGGGCCAGAGAGAGGGTTTGAGTTTCTCAGGACCTTTGTGCCTGCACCCGGTGTCCTGGGAGAGAGCAGCTTTGATCGCCCCCGCCAGGGATACCCGAATCAGAAGCAGGTGACTCTGAAGGGTTCTGTTACCTGGAAAACAAGGCCACCTGCGGAGCCTGGTAACTGAGCACACAGACACTGCTGGGACACTGTGAGGAAGCCTGGGTGGGACCATTGTCACGGGAGGTTGGCCAGACGCCTTCTCAGGACACCAGGCGTGGCTGGAGGGCACCCTGCCTCTCCTGTGTGTCTGGGCTCAAACCACACCACGCCAAAAGAATTTTTTTTAACTTTTTTTTTTTTTTTAATTTATTTTGTTTAAGTAGAGTTGAATTACATTGTTGTGTTAATTTCTGCTGTACAGCAAAAGGGCTCCATTATGCATACATATACATTGTTTTTCATATTCTTTTCTATTATGGGTTATCACAGGATATTGAATATAGTTCCCTGTGCTATAAGTAGGACCTTGTTGTTGTTTTTTATTCAGGCAAAAGAATTTAAATCCAGAATTCTACCAATTTCTCACACGTCTCCCCCAAACCATAAACACATCCCCGTATACTCTTCACATCTTCTGCGGCACAAATCTAGTAAACGTTTAAGTTTTTTCAAACAATTTCACTTGAAGATACCAAAGTTCAGAGACCATTTTCTGAAATCTGTAAATCGTTGAGATGACGCCTCGTGCTCAGTTCCTGATGTCACGTGGTGCCCGCACAGTTGGAAAGGCCATTGGCCCGAGCACCAGGAAATCTGGACCTGCCTCCACTTCTGTGCCCTCGAGCCGTGGGACCCTGGACAAGCCACCCAGCCTCTACGGAGTCTATAAAACAGACACTGTGCAACCGACACGGTGGGTAGCAGCTGGGGACAGGCTGCCTGGAGGCCCTCACCAGGTATGGGAGCCCCTCCCTTTCCCTCCGATTTTACCTGCAAATTGCGGTGAGCTTGGCTTCCCTTCACGGGGGTTCTGAGAGGTAGATGCGCCCTGCACCCGGCTCACTGGAAATACTCAGTGAAGTTAGTTTATTTAAAATCAAAAACAAAAATCAGAAAAGGACCACGTGGTCCTCAAGCTCCCTTCTGCCTTCCCACCTTTATAGCCCCCTCGGACCCAGGGCGGCCTCAGATTGATCTTATGTTTTAAAGGCAAAGATTGAGATGCTGGGGCATCAGACTCTGCATTCAGGGACTCCCCCCAAAAGTCACCATTTCTTCATTTGTTAAGTTCCCCCCAAATAAACATAAAACGTAGGTGAGAATACTCAAAAATAGCTGCGTTCTTTCAAGTAGCAGCCCCGCAGATTGATCCTGCACAGATGCCAGGCCGCCTGCGTCTTCACGGAGTGTTTGAAGGGAGCGCGCGAGCGGTGTGTTTGGCTCAGCTGGGGAGGGGCTTGCTGGTTGGTCAGTTGCTGTTTTTAACACTTTCTCTTCGGAGCCTTGAAGTGACGTCAGGTGCTTGGACAGAGCATAGAGGGATGGAAAGAAGGCCGGGCCCGGTGACTGGTAGCAGCATCTCTTTGGTTGCATCCTCGACGTCCGAGGACCCAAGGGGGTCTCAGACCCCGTCGCTTCTGCAGGTGTCAGGCTGTAGCCCGAGGATGTGCTGGACGGCAGAGGCTCCGCGGATGAGAGCCTGGCTCTCACCGCGCCTTCTCCCCCTGCCTGGGGCTCCATCCTGACCGCCCAAAGCTGCACACTCATTGTACCGGCTCTCACCGGACCCGCAGCCCGACACCCAGCAGCCGTCCGTGTAGCTCGTAGCTTGGGGTGATGCGTGCGGACAGGAGGGCTGCGGGTTTGTTCTACTGATGTGGCTTTGTTTCCTTGAGCCAGAAACGCTAATGTGACACAGCCTTCAGCCCGGGGCCTCACAGAACCCACAGGACGTCGAGCCCTGTGTTGGAAGCCCACCTGACTGACAAGCCCCTTTCCTGGATGGGGGATCGAGTCCAAGGTGGCCCTGTGCTGTTCGGGCCGAGCCGGGACTTGGGCAAGGCTCTGCCCGTTGCCTCCTTCCTGGCTGACGGGCGTTTGTTTCCCTCCTGAGCCCCTGTCCCTCCATAGTTAGTGATCCCCATCCTAGAGACACTAGAAGGCTCTCGCAGCTTTGTCAAGGGAACAGTCCCATCAATTCTGGAGACTTTCCTGATGGTCCTGTTAGCCTCCCCTCCACGCGAGGCCTTCGTGTGTCTCGAGAACCTGAGAGGCCTGGATCTGAGCCCTCACCTGCATCTCTTCTGCCCGCTGGGGCTCCCCACCTACTGACATCAGCTTGTCCTGCCCTGAGCCCCAGGCCGTGCCGAGCTGGCAGTCTGGGCAAAGGGCATCACCTCTCCAGGTGCCCCAGCCGGGGAGGGAACAGATGAACAGCTGTCATCCCACGCATCCTGCCTGTCAGCGTCCCGGGGCTGCCGTGACAAAGTATCGCAAGCTGGGAGGCCCTGAGCCGCAGAGGTTTATCCTGTGACAGGTCTGGAGGTGTCGGCAGGGCAGGCTCCTCCTGGAGGCTCTGAGGGGGTCTGGCCCGTGCCCCTCTCCCAGCTCCTGGTGGCTCCAGTGACGTGGCTGCATCACCCCATGTCTGCCTCCATCTTTACGTGGACTACTGTCCGTCTCTGCATGTCTGTTTCTCTCTTTATGAGGACACCAGTCATTGGATGAGGGACCCACCCTAGTCCAGTGGGGCCTCATGTTAGCTACTTACATCTGCAAAGATCCCTGCTTTGACATTCGGTCACGTTGGGAGGTTCCAGGAGGACGAGAATTTGTGGGCGGGGGACCCAGTACCTCCCATAGATCGTGGGTTTTCCTGCACCTGGGAGTCCCGGCAGTGCTGGCGCTCAGGCCTTGCAGCGCTGAGGTTGCTGGCTCGTGGTCTCTGCGGTGCAGGCTTCCCGTGAAACCAGAGCCTGCCCTGTGTCCTGCCTCATGCCTGCTCCTTCCTCCTTAGGCCTTACTGAAGATGGACTGCCAGGGCCTGGTGGTCAGACTCATCCAGGACTTCGTGCTTCTGACCACGGCGGTCGAGGTGGCCCAGCGCTGGAGGGAGCTGGCCGAGAAGCTCGCCAAGGTGTCCAAGCAGCAGATGGACGCATACGAGTCTCCTCACCGGGACAGGAATGGGGTTGTGGACAGCGAGGTGAGTGGGGCTGCCCTTCCCTCCACCTGTAAAATGCAGTGATGACAATGTCTACTGTACAGCGTTTTTACGAGGACAACATAGGTGAAACGTGAAGGCAGGTGCTTGGCACATAGCAGGCTCTCGCCGAGCGGGAGCGAGTCTCATCCTTCCCGGGACCCTTAGTTGTGAGCCCGGGCCCTGGCGGCGGCAAGGCCACTCTCCCGTCACGTGGGACTTTGCAACAGCATCCTCGGAGCTGCCCATCCGTCCCTGATCCTCATCTTAAATTACCTTCCGCCCGATGGTGCTTGACGGAGCCCTTCGTGATCAGTTCTGGTTGGGGCTCTGCCCCGCACGGTGTGAAATGCATACCTGGTATGTTGTCAGCTTCGGCCAAGGCTGGTTGGGTTCCTGCTCAGGGAGTCTTTGTTTGCTCACTTGTCTTGTGGTGGTCCCTTTAAGTTTCTGGAAAGACAGTCAGGCTTGCAAGACCTCGCAAGCCGGAGTCCCAAGAATAAGGGCATCCTTTATGGATGTGATGAGTTTCTAAATAAATGGAAAGTGCTACGGGAGGTTGGAAGGAAAGAGAAACCCTTTCTATTTGTTCGGTCACTACTTGGTACTATACACCTGCTCTCACACAAGGTGTGTTCTTCCTTCTGAAATGTGCTGGCCCGGGACGGAGGCGGCTTCTTTGGGTTCATTTCACTCTTTAAAAAGTAGCATCAGTGGGGCTTCCCTGGTGGCGCAGTGGTTGAGAGTCCGCCTGCCGATGCGGGGGACGTGGGTTCGTGCCCCGGTCCAGGAAGATCCCACATGCCGCGGAGCGGCTGGGCCCGTGAGACATGGCCGCTGAGCCTGCGCGTCCGGAGCCTGTGCTCCGCAACGGGAGAGGCCACAACAGTGAGAGGCCCGCGTACTGCAAAAAAAAAAAAAAAAAAAGTTGTATGAGTGATGAACAGAGATACTGGTACTAGGAGAGGCTCTAGGACCCAGTCTCTCAGTGTCCTCTAACCTTTTCTCTCTCTTTTGGTTTTGGACAACTCCACTACCCAGGCCATGTGGAAGCCTGCGTACGACTTTCTACTCACCTGGAGCCACCAGGTCGGGGACAGCTACCGAGATGTCATCCAGGAGCTGCACACCGGCCTGGATAAGATGAAAAACCCCATCACCAAGCGCTGGAAACACCTCACAGGGACCCTGATCATGGTCAACTCCCTGGACATCCTGCGAGCGGCCGCTTTCAGTCCCGTGGACCACGACGACCTCGTGATTTGAACGGGTCTGTGACCTCTTGACGCCCTCCCGGAGGGCTGCTCCAGGGTGCGCGCCCTCTGTCTGCCCCGAATGCCCAGGCGGGCACGTAGAGCTGGGGAGGGAGGGAAGGTCAGCTCAGACAGACCCAGGGTCCCTCCTGGCTGGATCCACACCCGGGACCGAGCACACGCGATGTTCCATCCGCCTCCTCTGTCATGGGGGAGACCTGGAGGGAATTTCTACTGCAGGTTGTTGCCAATCAAATAGCTTTCTATTTGTTAAGTATAAATTTAAATTTAAATAACTTTTTTTTAAAGTATGGGGGGGAGCGTACGAGAAAGGTGGTATCTAATTTTTTAATGGACCATAAAGGTAAAAAAAAAAAAAAGAAAAAGAAAGAAAATACTCCATAGGGGCAGATGCTGTTGAGGTTTTTATGTTCTATAAAGACCTTTTTAAATTATGTTTTAGATGTATATATGTATTTAAGGGTCATGGGGGCGTTTCTGATTGCCGGATTCTCTTTGCATTTCAACACTTAGCACGGAAAGACACTCGTTCAGATGTTGGACCTTTTTGCCTCTGTACTTGTAAAAAACAAAAAAAAAAAGAAAAGAAATCAAATAGGAAACGTGTCAGTAAATGAGTGTGGTCCGTGCGCATTCTTTCTGAGGCTGTCCTAGGCCTGCGATTCCCTGTGATTTTTATTACCTTCTGTACCTTGGCCTCGTGTTGCAGTAAAGGAACGGCCACAGCACAAGGGAAGCTTTTTTGAGCTTTAGCAGGAGGAGTGAAATCCAGCAGGAGCGATTGGGTGCACTTGAGATGAGAAGGCGGCGGGCAGGTGGCATTCTCTACGGCCCCTGCCCGTGCGCCCTTAATCCTGCAAAAGAGCTACGCCGTGTGAAGAGAGGTGGCCCCTGCAGCTCTGAGAGGCCCTGCTTCTCCCCGGGGACAGGGGAGTGCTTGCTGCAGAGCTCGAAGCCTCTCCTCTGGGCACAAAGAAAACATCACCACAAGCACACCCTACGCTGACGTCCAGAGGTGCCGGCTCCATTTGCCAAATTCCCTGCTTCATTCCACCTAAAACGTAACCCCTCTCCCCTCCCGGTGTGCCCGTCTCTCCTTGGAAATAAATAGCATAGAGGAATCCCTTTTTTTTAAAACAATACGAAGATTATCTGAGCAGGATGAATGTCATCTGAAAACGTTTCCCACGTAAAATCTGGGACTTGGCGGACTGTTGCATTGATAACCTTGATGGTCGGAGATCAACTTGTGCTGAATTCTACAATTGCATTGTGCGTGCATCTCGGAAGGGAGTGAGGGACAGGGATGAAGAAATACTGGCAGATCAGTAGAGCCGATCCCCAGGAAGGGGCCAGGATATGCGCTGTGCTTACATGAGTGATGCTGGGCCATCTGGGGTTCTGGCATCTCATTCTCTAAATCTGCTTTCTGGAAACATGCTAATTACTTAGTATAATCAATGTAAATCCCTTACTGGGCTAAAACATTCTTATATATCTATTGATTCAAATACGGAAGGCCAACTGACTAGAAAACAACAACAACGATAAAAAAAAAAATGCTACATGTTTTATGCCGCAATTCCCCCAAATCATCACATGAAACCACCTTACGTACAGGTTCTTCACTCCCCGCCTTCAGTCCTTCCCAGAGGGCGTCTCTCACTCTTCCCCAAAGAAGAAACAAAACCAGTCGCACCTTAAATACTGAGATTTTTTTCCTCAGGGGCTTTAAATAGTTTCCTATGCAACATGTCTTGTAGCACAAATTCAATTCTACGAAAGTTCCAGTAAATTTTCTTTGGATATTTTAACATAAGTGTGTGTGTTTTTTTTTTCTGTACGCACCCAGACTTTTAATAAAACACAAAACCTACTGTAAGTATCTATGCATAGAACAATGGCTCCGTCCCAACCCGGTCTCCCCCTAGGTGACAGTGTGACAGTTGCTTTAGTGGGTATCTGTTTTCTTGCTATTGATTTCATTGTTCTTGGAATATAGGGATCTCAGTCATCAACTAACTAATGGGAATCAGTGTTGCCTAGAGCACCCAAAGGGTGCAAGTGGGTGGCTTTCCTTTTTCTTGGTCCTGTGTACCTGGAATTGGCCAATCCCAAACCCACAATACACAGCTGAGGGCCGAGCATCTTCATCAGGTTACAACAAGCCGGACTCCCACGGGCCCTGCGCTCACCAAGCCCTCTGAACCAAGCCCAGGGAGAGAACAGGATGAGGGTAGGGGGGCAACTGATGGAGACCAGCCCCACCTGCAGGTGGTAGGGAGGAGTGGGGCTAAGGAGAGCCCCCTTGAGAAGTAGCTTTAATCCAAGGCCAAAGGCTGAGTAGGCACCAGTGAGCCCAAGGCCAGGCCAGACCTGGGGAACAGGGTGTCTGCAGCATTGAGAGAGAGTACAGGGACCACAAAAGGCTCAGCCCCTCCCCACCACGGGCCCGGGGCGTGTTGTACAAGCAAGAACCTCGGGGTGCACCTGTACCCTCCGTGCTTCTCAGTTCCAGCCCCGCCAGCCATATCCTGACACCCATTTTGCAGTTGACTGACTTGCACGGCTAGTGGCAGTAGTGGAGGTTTTAATCCAGAGCTGCCGTCTCACAGTACCACATACCGGCTGGCGTAAAATAACAAATTTATTTTCTTGAGGTTCTGATGGCCAGAAATCCAAGATCAAGGCATCGCTTGGCCGTCTGCCCTGTGTCTGCATCCAAACCTCTCTTTTCTTAAGGACCCCCGTCATGGATGAGGGCCCACCTGAGTGTGACCTCATCCTAACTTGATCACTTCTACAAAGACACTATTTCCAAATAAGGTCACATTCACAGGTTGGGGGGATGGGACCTCCAACAGATCTTGAAGGACGGAGTTCAACTCACAGCCCCGCCTCCTTCTCAGAGGCCTTTGCATGTGGCTTGCTTGGGGGAAGGTAGGGAAGGAATCCAGCTGGTTCTATCTGGAGGTCTCTGCCCAGGTTAATGCAAAAGTCAGAGGGGCAGAGGAAGGTAAATCTTTAAAAGGGGAAACTACTTGGGATGGGACTGGCTAGGTCACCACACCTACTTTCTTCCTGAGCAAACAGCTCGTTTTCCAACTTCCCTTGCAAGTAAGTGTGGCCGAGTGACTCAGCGAGTGGCACAGGAGTGTTGGTGATACCGGCGCCATCAGGCCCGTCCCACAGAACCTTCCGGGCACCCCTCCACTGTCCCAGTTGAACAGAAGGAGTTCCAGGGACCTAAAGGTGAGGAAGCGTCAGGCAGCAAAGCCCAGGTCCCCGAATGACCCCTTTGAAGGCTTTCCTTGCAGCAACCAGAGTTTACCTCCAGGCCGGCATTACTTTAATCTCAGGTTCGGTATTCCCAGATTACTGCTGTAAACAAACAGGAAAGCTGGAGGGGTGACGGGTTTGCTCTTAAAAGGGAAACATCCCTCTCACACCTGGATGATGTCAGGTAAAGATGAAGAGAAGTTAGTCACACTAGTTTTCCTTGGCTTGCCACGTCCGGAATTGGGCACTACTAGTCTGAACATGAACGACTTTTCTACTTTTACTGAATATTCTCTCGGCTACTCCAAGAAGCTTGGTTAAAATGTCCAGTCCTTTATTGATGTTGATTTTGACATTGATAATGGTAATAATTGGCATATAAAGTTATGGTATTTGTAGGTGTTTTTGAGGACCACATATTCAGAAGAAAGACTTCATTGAAAAAAACTGTGCTCTGATTTCCCAGGAAAAGGGCAATTTTGTGCATGGTCAGTTCCTGCCTTGGCCTTCGCCTGACTGTCGAGCAGTCACATCAGACGGGGTGTGCACCAAATCTTTTACTTTGTGGTCACCACGACCCCACCCCTCAGGTAGTCTCCGGTCACCTGGCCACAGCCGCCAAGCCCCGTTTTAGTCCTGGGACCCTCCCCTCCAGGGGTCTGGTCCGCAGATCCCCGCAGCCCATAGTTGGTCTTCCAACCATTCCTACTGCCATGCCTGGACTTAACGACCTCTGCCTTGTGCCTCTGCTCTCATTGCTTTTTATGGCCAAGCTACTCCAGCACCCTCTCACCTAAGTCCACCTGCCCAGGCTCCTCCCCCTTCCATGGGATACAAAGGAAGACCCAGAGACACGCCTAGTGCCCATTGTGCTGTCAGCTCTGGGTTTCCCCACCCCCAATTGCAGAACTCCCTTGACTATCTCCCCTTCTCAGAGCTCCCTGCTTTTGCCTGGGCTCTTCTTGAGGTGAAACACCTGTCCTTCCTTCATCAGCCACACTGAGTTCCTTGGGGCAGTGACCGTGTCTAAACTCGTCTCTTGAGTCCCCAGAGCTTTGTGCAATAAATGTGTGTTGCATGAGGGAACTACCCATATCTCTGCCATAAGAATGCATCTCAGAATGTGGATGACTTTGGCTATTGGAGTGCGTAGAATGGGGCTTTGTGCTGGGTTTACAACCAGTGTTAAAAATAAGTGGAGGGCCTCCCTGGTGGCGCAGTGGTTGAGAGTCCGCCTGCCGATGCAGGGGATACGGGTTCGTGCCCCGGTCCGGGAGGATCCCACATGCCGCGGAGCAGCTGGGCCCGTGAGCCATGGGCGCTGAGCTTGCGCATCCGGCAACGGGAAAGGCCACGACAGTGAGAGCCCCACATATCGCAAAAAAAAATAAAATAAAATAAAATAAGTGGAACTTGTCCAGCAGTGAAGGCATCAAACCCAGCTCATATTTTAAAAAGAGTTCAGGGACTTCCCTGGTGGTCCAGTGGTTAAGACTCCGCGTTCCCAATGCAGGCGGCCCGGGTTCAATCCCTGGGCAGTCTGCGTGCTTCGACTAAGACCTGGCACGGCCAAATAAAATTTTTAAAAATTAAAGAGGGGCTTCCCTGGTGGCGCAGTGGTTGAGAGTCCGCCTGCCGATGCAGGGGACACGGG